AAGCACCTTATTGAGAGGACTGAGTAATCAGTTTGACTAGAATATATTCATAATGACACTACTAAAAATAATTGGTTAGGAAATGTGTTCTACCATGTTCAATGACAAACATACTGAGTTTGAAAGTATTCTTTTACCATGTAAAACTATTGTTTAAATTAATATATTTGCTTTCTAGGTTTCTCCCCATCCATATCTCTTGGTTGAAATTCGTATTGCTGAAATTGTTCACAAATTTTTCACTATATATGGCTCCAAATTATTTTGACTATGTTCATAAATAAGATCCACCCTCAAAGTACAAATATTCCAAAAAATGAAGATAAAATAATAACAGTAATTTCAGCCTTTAAAACTAATAAAATGTCATCTCTTCCCAATTAGCTTTGGTAACTAACCTGTCCCTAATGGCCACTACACACACATTCCCACCATCACCAACAACAACTTCTTCCACTCCTAATCACAGTAAGTTGATCTGGCTTCAAAAATGTGTATATGTGATATAGGTGTGCGTGAGGGTGTGTGTGTGTGTGTGTGTGTGTGTGTGTATGCATGTGTGTGACTGTGGCATTTGAATCACTGTAATATGACCAGGTATTTATATGATTTACATGTCAATCTTTTATAAAAGATTGTTACATTTTTGAAACCAGAAATCTGTCTAAGTCACTCTTGTTTTCAGTACTCTCCTCCATATCCATCAGATACAAATGCATCTCATTTAAGCCTTACATCTTCTTGGTAAAATAGTCATGGAAGAGATGGATGCCCTCATTTTCTAGGTTAAGAAACTGAGATAGTAAGAAGCAGAGCAAGATGTAAGCCTAGATTTGATTTTAAGTTGAATGTTCCTATTATTCAGCCAAAAATCATTGATGATATCCTTACTGCCAAATCTAATACCTGGTTTTTAGTTTTATCTGACCTCTTTTTGGTGTGTGGCATCATTGACAACTGTTTTCTTCTTGAAGCAGTCTTTTTCCTTGACTTGTGACAACTTACTTGTCCAGTTCTCTACCTAACTATCCAAGCATTTCCTATCAACTGCCTTTGCAGACACTTTGCTCTTTCTTAAATGTCATTGTCTCAGGGTTCTGTCCTTGTCCTTTGATCTTGCACTAAAAATCTTCCTGAGTATTATCAGACACTACCATGCCTTCAAGAACCACCAGTACACTTGTGATTTCAAAATTCATGAGTCTAGACACTGCTGAGCCTCAGGTTCATGTTTTCAAATGGCTATTATGCCAGCATATCTCAGAGCCACATCACGTTCAACATGTCCAAACATAAGATCTGTGTGTATAAACTTGTTTTGGTGTTTCTTGTCTCATATCAGAATGTACCTCTTTGTGCGTTTTCCTGATTCATGCTTTAGCTTCTAGAAATCTCAATTACCAAGAATATAGGAGTACTTGTCTACAGGGTAAGTATCAAAGTCTCTATGATAGGAGCAAGGTAGAATTAAAATGCATTAAAAATTCAGTTCCTGTCCTGATAATCACATTTCAACACTAATAGCCACATGGCTACAATGTTGGATAGTGCAGATATAGACTATTACCCTCATCACAGAAAGTTTTATTGTACGCACTATGTATACTAAGCAATTAATAAGAAAGTGGTAATAAATTAAGGACCTTTTAAAAATCTACACATAGATTCTATCTGAAATATCTCTTAAACTTACCCTTATCTCTTCATGCTTATTGTCTTTAGGGAACAACCTAACAGGTCTCCCAGTCACAAATATTTCTTCATCCAGATACATTCTTGAAATTGTTGCTAAATATAGCTACCTATCTTGTCACTTCTCTGCCTAAAACATTTTATAACTTCTCATTGCCTAAGGGATGGAGTTCACACTGGCTAACATGAAAACAAGACTCTTATCATCCAACTTTCACTCTAATCTCAAGACATTGCTCCCTTTACACACCCATGAATTCCAGTTAAAACAAGTTTTGCTGTGCTATAAACAAAATATATGCTGTCACAATGCAGCCTGAAATGCCTGCCCTCCATTCTTTTATTTAATGCAGTCCTTTCCTCCCATAAGACTCAATTCAAGTACCACTTCCTTTGTATAATGTTTCTGAGCTTCACTGCTTAGCGTTCTCAGCTCCTGTCTCTACCACATTGTATTGTAATTATTTGTATATGTCCATTACCCTCACCATACTATGAGTTTTTAAGGAAAAGAGACAGTGGCTTATGATAATACCTACACTAATTGTCTAATGTAGTACATTTTGCACAGAAATTATTTTATATTTTGTTGCTGTT